TGGCCCAGCTGCTGCCGCAGCTCCTGCAGCTGGTAGACGTCCTCCTCCATGTAGACGTCCCGCATCTCCAGCATCTCCGCGCGCAGCTCCTCGATCTCATCCTGAGGGGAGACGCGCGTCAGAGCGCCCCACAGCCCTGCACACACATGACTGGCTTTCCCAATCCTTCCCCAATCCACCCAGGGGCTCCTCCACCTCGAGATTTTCAGACCCTTGCAGCCTCCTGCGCTGCTGGTGGCAGCGAGAGCCCTGGAGCTCGGGGCGCTGCCCGGCTTCTTGGCCATCCTCAAAACGAGCAGCCCCATCCCTGTCCTCGAGGCGGGGGGAAGAAACTTGATGCTCTGGCCCAAACGCCCGCTGTCCGCTCGCCTTGGTGCCCCAGCTCCCAACCACAGAGCAAAGGCTGCAAGAGGTGGAGGTGGCCAGGGAGCAGCAGGCAGCCCAGAGCCACAAAGCATCAGGGTCTGGGGACAGTGCCCACCCCACACATCACCTCCCTGCCCACGCGTCCCCAGTGGGTGACATCCTGCCGCACCATGGGCCCACTCACAGCAGTGGGCTCTTTCTCCTTAGATCACAGCTTGCTCCTCGCACTGATGAAGGGTCCTTTTTGAGCAGAGCTCTGAGCCCCCAGGAACATCCCTGGGGAGAGGTGCCACTGGGAACGGAGCAAAACTGACTATTTGTAGGCTTGAGAAGACAGCAAGGAGAGAAGCAAACCAAGCCCCCCCTCCTCTTCCACGGGAGGCTCAGAGCCGCTGGATCCCCGCGGTCCTGCTCCGCCAGCGCAGAGCACAGCTGCAGTCATCACACACAACGTGGCTCCTCGGCCACCAAGGCCCTGCGCCGATCCCACCAACCCCTCAAGCAGCTTCGTGTTTGGCCAATGGAGAACCCCAGCAGGCTCCTCGCCGGCGCCCCGGGAAGGGCCCGGACACCCTTGGCGCGGGACGGTGGATCAGGGCACACCGCGGCACCCCCGCGCCGCCCCGAGCCCCTCCGGGCAGCAGGGACCCTGTGACGGCAGCACGGACCCTCCATCCGCATGGCCGAGTGGAAGGGACGAGGCAGCCCCGGGGAGCCGGCACGAGCGCCTGTAAATATTTGAAGAGGAAAATAAAGAGGATGATGGGGGCAGGGAGAGGATTCTCTGCAGGCGGCAGCAGCTCCAGCAAGAAAAAAAATGTAGGTCGTCTTGGAAAAGATGTGTCAGAGGAGGGAGCCACGCGGGCGAGGGAAGGAGCCCGCAGAGGAGATGGGAGGCGAGGAGAGAAGAGGCAACACGGGGACAAGAGCCCGTCCCAGGCCCACCGCGAAAGAGGTGAAGGGCCAGGCGGTCACAGGACCACCGAGCATCCCGATGGAGCACGGCGTCCCCAGGCCAGCACATCCCGGCAAGGGCAGGCGGCCACCAACCGCCCTGGGTGGGCAAGAGGCACCACGCACAGGTCAGTGCGCACTGGGAAACCGCAGAAACTGGGCCAGCACGTTGCTGGACGGGACCAGGCCCATGGAAGGGATGGGGAAGAGGGTGAACGTGGGGAAGGTGCTGCTCAGACCCGGGTGCCACCGCGGGAGGGAGAAGATGAATGTAGCAGCTCCCTGCAGCCTGGGGGACAGCGAGTGACACCCCAGGGGGCTGAGCCCACAGCACCCACCTCCTTGGGACCTGCCCCCCAACTCCCTCTGACATGGGAAGCTGGCACGGAGGAGCCCATTAGGCTGGATTTGGGCAGCCAAGGAGGAACACGGACAATAGCCCCACAGGCTGCGCCGTGGCCAGCACGTCAAGTCCAATGATAAAAACGAGGCCTCATCTCTCAGGGCATCAGCGGTTTCAGCTCCGTTTGTCACCAGGAAGCAATTGCAGAGCTAGGGCCACCTCTTACCTCTTCGGCCTCATTAAATTCCACGGTGACGAGTTTCTCATTTGCCTGTGCCAAGCACCACTGCGGCGCTCGCCAGGACGCAGGGACCCAGCCTGGCCGTCGCTGCAGGGCCGGGAGGAGCAGGTTCTCTCTCAGCACCAACGCCAACCCAGAGACTACGCCAGGTTTTCAGCACACAAACACCATGAGACCCACCTGCATCCTCAGGTGACAAGGACTGTCCCCTCCGGGCTCTGGAGGCCGCTGCAGAGCTGATGGCACCGACCAAGGCTCTTTCCAAGTCCCTGCTAGTGCAACCTCAACTCAAGTCTTCCAAGGAAATCACACTCCTACCACAGCCATCACCCTCAATATGGTCAAATCCAGAACCTTTCTGAAAACGGTTTGCATTGTTTATTTTCCTGGCAAAAAGTCCATGCCACTGAAAATCTCCATTTGCTGCTAAATGCAGTTCCTGCTTCCCAAGCAGGCAGAGGTGAGGAGAGGGTCTCCAGGCTGCTGCCCCACACCGGGGCGAAGCCCCTCTGCTCCCAGCAGCGCCAATGATAGTGCCTGACTGCCTGCAACACCAGCCCAACACGAGGAGCGGTGGCCAGGGCGAGTGCACGTTGCCCCACGCCAGCACATGCGCCCTGTGACACTGCGGATGGGCCAAGCACCAAGTCTCTGCCCCGCCAGGCAGGGGTGCAGCTACAGGTCCCGCAGCACCCGCTGGCCCCGTGCACAGGAGGAGCGAGCCAAGCAGCAGCTGCTGGCCCCGCATCCCCCAGGGAACAGGGGATAACCCTGGGCACACGCTTGGTGAGGAGATCCAGCACCCCGAATGCAGGCAGCAGCAAGGCCCCTTCCCTCCCCGCAGCGGGCTCAGCGCCCGGCCAGGCTATGGGGCGCCCAGCACCCCGGTCACCCGCACACAGCCCCATCTGCAAGAGCGGCCCCAAAGGGCCACGCAGCTGTGGGGATAAGTCACAGGCACCCACTGTTATCTTTAAATGCTACATGACAAATAAGGAGCGTCAATCGGACAATCCGGGATTATCTTCCCGCAGACTCCAGGAGCTCGCCGGCGACGTCGCCCTGCCAAGGCGGGCGCCACCGTGCCCAGGCGGCAGGGCTGGCACTCGCCGGCACGGGATGCGGCCGGGAGCTGTGCAAGGCTCAGCACACCACACGGCACGACGGACAAACGCTGGCACCGAGGGCTAGAAGCAGAGGGCTGGTGGCCACATCCCTCTTCCGCTCCGCTTACAGCCCGCGGGCTCCCGCGCCAGGAAGAGCAGGGTCGTGCGGAAAGGCAGCCAGAGCGGCGAGTGCCCAGGACAAGGCGTCCCGGGGCTGCCCAGCCTGGCACGAGGGCCTTCAGATGCTGCTGCACAGCATGGGGTGGGCGAGTGGGATGCCCAGAGTGGGACTCAGCGGGAATTGGTTGCAGGAAACCTTCTATCACCAAATTTCTACGAGTGGTGACCCGAATGTGCACATAAAGGCACACGGGGCTGCGCGGGTCCCATTCAAGGGCTTAGCTGACAGTCTCAGCTCCTCTTGGCGACTCGTCCTCCTCAGGCAGCTCAGCAGGAGCGACGGCTCCATCAAACAACCACGGGCTCGAGCAACGCAGGGAGCAGGAGCTCCGCGTTGCTCCTTTCCGTGCTGCTCCTGTCCATGCTGCTCCGAGCCCTCGGGTCAGGAATCCCACAGGATGGCAGCAACCATCACATTTAGGGCACTCGTATCCAATGCAAACAAGTCGCTCCTTTCATGGAGTGCCCTGCCCAGAAGCATCTCAGTCAGAGGGTTATTTTTTGCAGGGAGCAGGCAGGGAAAGGAAAGCGGTGCCTCCCTTCATTCTGACGGCAGGAATTTGCCTGGACCTGTCATGCCAATAAATCCGTGGAGCGGCGCGCAGCAAACCTGCAATCACGAAGCACGGCTCGAGGTACTGCACTCTTCCCTTGGAGACAAGCTGTTCGCTTAAGCCATAATAAATGGATTAGGATTGGAGGCCAGAGAGATGCCAGCAAATTGGAAGAGAGCTTAGAGCGGAAAAGCTGACGCTCTGCACGGGGCCGGGAGGCCAGATTGCAGCAGCAAAACAGCTCAGCGGCACCGGTGGATGCGATGGGAGGCCCCGGCTGTAATGAGCTGCCAGGAAAGGCGCCCAGACAAAAGGTGTCGGATGAGAGGGGAAGCTGTCAGGAGGGAAAATGCAGGAAAACCTTCCCTGCAGGAGCAGCTACAGCCACCCCACGGATGAGCCCTCACAGCACCTTTGCTGGAGCCGATGTGCATCACCTCGAAAACACAAAACAAATAACAGGCAAATAAAGGCAAGGGCAGAGGCAGGAGCGGCGAGGCCCCTTCAGAAGCACCTCCGATTCGGAGCGTTGCAAAAAGGAAGCATCGGAAATGGTGGCAAATCAAGGAGGACGAGAGCCAGGGAGGGCAGAAGGGGCCGTGGGAGGGCAGTGCCACCAATATACACCATGAGAAGGAGCAGGGAGGCAGGGGAGCTGGGCCAGCGAGGAGGGAGCCAGGCAGGAGGAGGGAACGGCACCGAGGAAGGGAGAAGCGGCCTCCTTCCAACGCGGGAAGGGAGCTCGAGACCAGAGCCCACCTCGCCGGGGAGAGAAACGTGGACACGCTGCTCAGCACCTCCAACACGAGCGCGTTTATCCATTTACTCAGTCTTCTGCCTCCTGCACACACACAAAGGAGCAAAAATGTCAGGTTTTTTCAGTAGTTACTGGGGAAATCGGCTGTCTTGGAAAATCTGCAGGGAACTTGCACTCCAACGGGGCTGTTCCAACACCTCAGGGCGCCGGGCTTGGAGAACAAAACCCAGCCCGTTTGCCCCATCAACGCCTGCAGGAGGAAGGTGAGAGACACCCTCATCCTTCTGCAGTCCCCAGAGAAGCTGCCTTCCACGGGGAGACCGCTACAGAGCGGCAAGGCAGGGCACAAGCAATCCAGCTGCAGTCAAAAAACAGGAACAAATGCCATTTTCTGAGCGGAAAGAGGCAAGGAGGGCATGCGTCAGCCTGGGTGCTTGCAACCGCGCTCGCTCCGCGCAACGTCGGGGCCCGGCCTCGCTATCTTCCAGAGGCAGAAAGCAGCGGCGGGCTCAGAATCGGGCAAATAATGACGACACCAGCGGCTGTCACGCTGCCGAGAGCAGAAACACTGCAGGGCCTTGGCAACGGCTTTGGGACACGGCCAAGCAGCGCCCGCCTGCCCCTGGGGACAGCACGGCCTGCGGAGCCACCGCGGGCACCGTCCCCTCGCCGCGGCACACCGTGCAGCAGGGGAAAACAGGCATTTTGTAATGAAACGGCGTGGGAAGCTTCGCATGTTTTGGCATCACCCCCTTTTGCGATGCTCAGGGCTGTGGCATCAAGCAGAACCCACTGGGCAGAGCCGGGTGAGATGGGGATTATGGTGCGGAAGCAAGGAGCAACCTCCCCGCCCCGGGGCTGCAGAGCTCGAGCAGCAGCTTTCCATTAGCACCAAGCCGCCACCTGACTGATAAGGGAATTAGGCTGCAAATTGCAGAGAGAAAAAGAAAAGAAAAGAAAGGAGGAAAACACCCACACACTGGGCTCCCACTGGGAAACGGCGCTGGGCCAGGCTGCACGTCCTCTGCACGAGGTGCCACCAACCTGGTACGCGGGGCCCAGGGGGACACCCCCGTGCAAAGGGGCGCATGGGAAAGGGACCTCATCATGTGTCACAGCTTTTTCACACGCATTAACCACAGCTCCAACACCGTCACCCTTCCCTCCCCATCAGTGCAGCTAGCAAAGCGCGCCGAGGAGAGAAAAAACAACATTTTCCAGCTCTCCACCTGTGCCACGTCTCCCCCGGCCGCTCTTTGTCCCTCCGCAGCTGCTGCCGCCTCTGGGCTCGCGGGAGCCACCCGAGCCACCTCCCGGCCTTGCAGGGCTGCCCACCTGCACACAGGGAGCTGCACGGGGGCTTCGAGCGACCCTTTGCAACCGGCTACGCTGCGCCCAGGCCCGGAGGAGCGAGAGGTACAACCCGAGCAGACGGGAAAGGGGAAGAGGCAGCAGCCGCAGGGTTTCCAGGGCGCCGCTCCTGCCCCGCTCCGTGCTGGATTTGGGGGCTGGCTCTGCACCGCCGGCCGTGCCCAAGCACCGGAGAGTCCCCAGGGACACTCCAGCACAGGGCCAAGCTGCAGGAAAACCCACCCCGGCGGGAAAAACAACAGCTAAACCCAACCCTGCTGATTTCATCAGTGCATCTAGCAGCTTGAGGATGAGAATCTCAGAAGCCTCATTTTGACTCATCGCCCAGCAGAAGAGGAAAAGACAGGCCCAAAAGCCACAGGGAGGGTGAAAAGGCGCAGCCCGGAGGTCCCTCCCTGCACTGCCACACTTTGACCAAAAGCCTTTGTTGCAAAAAGCCCTCTTTAAGCCTGAGCAAATCTGTGCTGCCAAGAGCAGCGGGTGAGGTGTGCTTAAAAATATACATTTTATTATCACAGCCAAGGAAAGAGACAACACCAGCTGGCAGGACGACAGAGTGCTGCGATTTTCTGGGGACGGCTGCGTTTTGGAGCTCATCAATGACACAAAAACATAGTGGCAACGCACACGACGAGCCTGGCAAGGGGAGAAGCCACAGCAGGACACCAGTCTCACCCACCCCCCAGTTTTACCCTTCTCTGATGGGTAAATTTGGATCCTCGGCTCTTTTCATGAGCCTTAGGAAAATCTGTCACCCCTGACAAGCCTGATTCACCAGCACCCAACGGGTGGTGAGCTTCCAAGGTCAGAGTCACCTCCAGCACCAGCCTCTGGCACTGGGGTCCCCAGCTGAGCTGCTTCACCTGCGCTGACCTAGTTGGGTTGAGTTGGATTTATCCCTGTGGTGCCTTAATGCCCCAAACCCGTTAATTTATAGAAGAGCCAGAGCATGGGAGCTCCCCACACCCAGACGGACGTTCTCCTCCTCCTTGGAGGCGCTGAGCAAAACCTATACTGCAGCTTCCTCCTTTTTTGTTGGCAGACGAGAGATGCGTGCGGCCGTCTCCTGCCCTGCTGGAGTGCAGGGCCCTCTCCTTCCCTCCAAAACACGTTCACGAGCAGAGCATGCACATCAGGAGGGTGACGGCAGAAGGCCCAGCGCACCTACCCGTCAGCACGCCGTGACGCAGCACGCTCTGCTTTACGCCCACTGCAACACGCACTACGGAAACACGAGGTTCGCACCCTCCACGGTGCTCGAAATACGCACTGAGGCATGCGGTGGGATGCAGAAACCCGGATCTGCCAAACAACACGGCAGCAAACGGCAGAGAGTACCAAGAACATCACCACCGTGATCCAGCTGCACTTCCATGACTGCTCCTGGCTATGGATTCACGTTCTCACTATTCACATGGGTACAACACCCAAACCTCACTCCGCCTGCAGTTTGCTATGAAGATGATCATGCAAAAATCTACCAAGCAACCATGCAACGCACAGAAACATGAGTGTTTTCAGTTGCATTCTTGCAAACTGCAGGGATCTCATCTGTATTTTTCCAGCTCTCCGTAAATCAAAGCCCTTAAGCTCTTGGTGCTAATTCTGGCAGGAGTTTGGACACCAGCTGTGAGCTAGAGCTTTGCTAATGGACAAAGGGCCTGATTGAGCATCTTCAAGCCTGTTACCCAAAGCCTAATGTTCACCTCATAGCTAAAACCCCTATGCATTTACAAACTTTGGCATCAGCCTGTGACCGTTTTTCTGACCTTTGGTATCGTATCTGCTCTTGAATCTCCACCCAGGTGCTTCTGCAGTGCAAATCACTGCACAAACATCTCCAGAGCTGCACAACACCGAACAGCAAGGGACGCAAAGCAGCCCCTGGAGACGCAGCATCTCGCCCAGCCCTCCCGCGGGGCCAGCTCGGCTCCTTCTCGCCCTGCTGTCTCCCACGCCGAGCCACGCAGGCTGGACACGAGCACGTGCAGAAGGGCTCTGCGGCCCCGGCCCCACGCACGTCACCTGCCCTGCCTTCGAAATACGCCCGTGAATGAGACAGCCGAGCTGCACGCCTGGAAAAAGGCCCCAGGGAGCAGACAGGCACCACGCTGACAGCACGTACAACAACCAGCGGAAAGCAAATGAGTTGGAAAATCCCTTCCCCAGAGGCAGGGCAGCGCCAGCAGGCAGGGCAGCAGCGAGGCGAGGAGCTCTGCGGGAGCATCCTACCCCGGGCAGGGCACACCACGGCCATCCGTGCCCGATGGAGCCGAACCGCGGCGTGCTCAGCCATGCCAAGCCAGGCTCGGCTGGGCTCGCCATGCCGTGCTGAGCCACGCTGTGCCAACCAAGTCATGCCGTGCTGGCCTGAACCGGGCCACGCTCTGCCCTCCAAGAGCTAGATGGGCTGTGCTGGGCTGAGCCAGTCCACACTTGGCCAAGCTGCGCTGAGCTGTGCCATGCCTGGCCATGTCTGGCAATGCCATGCCAGGTCAAACCAAGCCATGCAAGGGCATGCCAAGGGATGCCAGGCCTGGGTTATGACAAGCCACAACAGGCAATGCTATGGCAGGTCAAAGCAAGCCTTGCCAGGCTGCACCATGCCAGGTCAAACCGTATCAAGCCAGGTCGAATCAGGGATGCTATGGCAGGTCAAACCAAGCCATGCCTGGAGATGGCAACCCACGTCATGGCAGATCATGCCTAGAGATGCCAGGCCCAGAGATGCCAGCCCTCATGGGGCTGATCCTTGCCACGCCACACGCCGTGCCCACCTTGAGATAGTCGTTCTCGGAGCGCAGGTCGTCCAGCTCGCGGAGCAGCCCGTCGTGGCCGCCATCGAGGAGCTCCTCGGTGAGGTCGGAAAAGGCGAGCGAGGTGCTGAGCTGCAGGCGGCTGCTGCCCATG